TGGGATGGAGCTGGGAGGGCACGGTGCGGATGCAGCTCCCGGCTCTCCCGGAGGAGCCATTGGGGCCCTGCAGGGCTCCTGGTGCTGCTCCCCAGCCTGGGCTGCGTTTGCAGAGCTCTGCGATTCCCTCCTTGGGCTCCTCTGGGCAGCCCCATGACCACCACCACCTTCTCCTCCTCCTCCTCTCCTGTACCAGACCCCCAGCGCTCCCTCTCCACCCTACACACACGAGGGCACAACCCCCAGCTCCACCCCAAATCCAGGATTCCACAGCCAACCCAGGCTCCTTCCCCTGTTTGTCCACTGAAATTCCCATCCGGATTCTGTGGGATCACCCCGGTCCCTGATCCAGCTGCAAGCCCCAAGCTCCCATCACAGTCCTGGGGTCCTGCAGGATCCTTTTCTGCCCCAAATCCCCCGGCTGGGGCTGTAGGGGTTAACTCGAGCTCATGGTCTCTCTCCCCCTCCACATCCAGATTTCCTCCAGGAATCATCCAGAGGATCCCAGCAAGGCAGGGAAGGGTGAAGAGGATGCATGAGAGGATGACTATTATCCCTTGAGTTAATGAGTCATTATAATTAGCCAATAATAATACATATTAATAATAAATATATAATATATAATATATAATATATAATATATAATATATAATATATAATATATAATATATAATATGTATGTTATTATATATATATATATAATATATAATATATTATATATATATAACCATTATAATATAATTAGCTGCCCCCGATATTCTAAGGGGCAAGGAAAGCAAAGGAGGCTGGGAAACAGAGGCAGGACCCAAAACCAAGTGGCTGCAGCGCTTTCCCTTTGTGAAAAATGACAATCACTTGTTTTAAAATTTTGAAAGTTTAATAGTAATAAAATGGTTATAAAAATAGTAATATAATTAGAGTGATAATAATTTGGACAATTAGGATTAGGACAATACGAGACAATAAGAACAAAGAGTTAGGGACAGTCCAGGTACCTCTTTCTGGGCAAAATAAGCCTGAAAATGGACCCACGTTAACAGAGGATTAACCCTTCAAAGCAACAGCCCGTTGCATATTCATACAGCTCATACATGATGCATAAATTCCATTCAAACACAGGATTCTGTCTGGACAGTGACAGCTTCTTCCTCTGAATCCCGACGGCTCTTCAGGGCTGAGTAAGGTGGGAAGAAGTTCGTTTCTCCTGATAATGGAGCAATAAATTCTTTTTCTCTGAAAGATTTCGGTGTCCTGTGGCTGCTATCTCAGTGCAAGTCCTCTCTTTAAAAAAATATTTCACATATACAGTTTCTATTTTAACATTTTGTTATAACCTAAAACTATATTTAACACACTACTTAAGAAAATTAACACAGCATCACTTTCTAACATAGCACATATAATAATCATTTTAATATTTGCGAAAAGCCAGTCATAAAATCGGCATTTTTCACAGCTTTGCTTGTGTTGGGAATTCCTTGTGGGAAATGGGAGAGGGGAGAGCAGGAAGGAGATTGGGCAGGGCAGGGATGGAGCTGGAGAGCCCTGGGCATGGGCAGGAGCATCCATCGTGTTACACACGGCAAACACGGGGATAATCCTCCTGAAAAATCACAGGGAAAGCTGGCAGAGCCTCGGGAAAGCTGGCAAGGACAAAGTACAGCAAAATCCTACAAAGCCCAGAGCATCCATAAAGGAAAATGGTTCTGTTGTGGGGCCAGGATGGGGCACACACACAGAGCTCTGTGCAGACCACAGGGGGAACTGGAAAATTGGAGATGCCTTAAAACACACTGGAAAACTGCAGGGAGGCTGAGAAAGGCTGGGCAGCACCAGGGAGAGCAGCTCCTGGGATTGGAGAGGGGAATGAGTGACCCCAACACAGGAGAGGGGAACTGAGTGACCCCAGAGCTGGAGTGGAAACGAGTGACCCTACAGCTGAATGTGAAAAATGCCTATTTTATGATTGGCTTTTTACAAATATTAAAATGAATATTATATGTGTTGTGTTAGAAAGTGATGCTGTATTAATTCTTTTAATTAATGTGTTAAATATAGTTTTAGGTTATAAAAATTGTTAAAATAGAAACGATGCTATGTAGGATATTTCTTTAAAGAGAGGACTCGCGCTGAGATAGCAGCCACAGGACACCTGAATCTTTCACAGAAAAAGAATTTATGGCTCCATTATCAGAAGAAATGAAATTCTTCCCACCTTGAAGGCGCTGTCAGGATTCAGAGGAAGAAGTTGACACTGCCCAGACAGAATCCTGTGTTTGAATGGAATTTATGCATCATGGATGAGGTGTATGAATATGCAACAGGCTGTTGTTGCTTTTAAGGGTTAATCCTCTGTTTATGTGGGTCCATTTTCAGGCTCCTGCTGCCCAGAAAAGGTACCCGGACATCCCTAACTCTTTGTCTCTATTGTCTCATATTGTCCTAATTCAAATTGTCCAAATTATTATTACTCTAATTGTATCACTATTTTTATAACCATTTTATTACTATTAAACTTTTCAAATTTCAAAAACAAGTGACTGGCGTTTTTCACACCCTCCAACAGCCCCAGACATCCACATGAGCAGTGTGAGTCAAACACACATACACTCCTCCCTCTGCTCTGGCACAACCTTCCCCAATTAACCGCATTAATTAACGAGGACAATCCCGGGGTAGCTGTGACTGAGCCCGTGGGGACAGAGGGACACCGGAGCTGCCCAGAAAGGGAACAGGGGCTGCAGTGCCCATCCCGGCACAGCCTGGCACGGGCAGTGGGAGAAGGAGACCCTGGGAAAAGGAAAAGGGCACCACACAAACTTATCAGCTCCTTGCAGCAGCCAGAGTCAGGAGAACAAAGCTGTTCCCAGATAATGACAGAGATAAGGGGAAGGGAGAACAATGAGCTGGGAGCTCTCCCTGCTCAGCACATCGGAGCAACCCCCAAAGTCAGCCCATGATTTATTTTTCAGGTTTCAGCTGAACTCTGCATCCATGACACTTCCTGCTCTTCCAGGAATGGAGGGAGGGAAGGGTAAAGAAATAAAAAATAAAAGACCAAAGCTTTATGAAAGATTAAATTTATTGGTCAGACAGAAAGGCTTTGCCCCTTGCACTTTTTGTGTATCTATCACATGGAAAAGGGTAACTTAAATACCTAAAATGTGACATTTTGGCCCAAGGCAAAGAAGGAAAGCAGTGAAGCCCATGTGTGTGCAGGGCCAGCCCAGCCCCTCTCCTGCAGGTCTGGGCACATTCCTGCACCCCCCCTCCCTCAGCTCACACGGATTCCATTAACCCAGGACAAAAGGTGCTGTAAGTTAAAACTTAATCTCAATTTAAACAGAACTGACACAGCTTTGCTTTGCACCAGCCAGTTTACAAGGGCAGATCACAATAAAATCATTTCAAATCAGCAAAAAGCTCCATGCAGGACTGGAGCCTTTGTTCCCCAAACTGGTTTTACCTGTCTGTCAGTGCCACCTGGGCTCAAGGCAAAGCCTCACTCCTCATTTCCACCTGAGCAGCACCTCCTGCCCCTCAGCTGCTGCTTCCCCACAGCTCTGGGGCTCAGCACCCAGGAGGGCACTGGGGCCACCTCATCCCCTCTGCTCCATGGTCAGTTCCCAGCTTGGAAGCAGGGACAGCACTGAAAACCCTCCAGGTTTCTCCAGCCAAGAACACCCCTGACAAGCTGAGCCAGCCCTGGGTCCCAGTGAGCAGGGCTCAGCTCACCCTAAAAGGCTCAGGAACAAATTTCCACTGACAGATGTACACATACAATTAGAAAACAGCTGATCCAGGATTTTAAAGAATTAAAAAAATAAATTGTTCTAAAATAACTTTGATGTGTGTGTGCGTGCCCTGCTGAGTTCCCAAGCATCCAGCCTGGCCTAGGGAACCTTCCCCTCCCTCCCTCTCTCCATCCCAAGCCCTCTCCCAGCCTCTGTAACCTTTTGTGCCTGCTGTTCCCAGGCACATCCCAATGCTCTCCAAGGAAAACAAGAACCAGCAGCTCAATACCAGGACAGACATTTCAAACATGTGCCTCAGCACATGCTTTTTCCAATCCTTGGTGATTTTTTTTCCCTCTTGGGGTAGGCAAGAACTCCTCACTCAGAGAGCTCCCACCCCTTCAGAGTCCCACTCTGGCTTCCTGACCAGCATGGGCCCTGCAGCATCTTTCCCACAAGCAGCAGGAATATTTTTGCTCACCCTGCAGCGCTCCCTTTCCTTTCTCAGCCTCTCCACTGCCCCAGGCTGGATCTCTGGACATGTCCAGAGTGACGCACTGCAGCAGGGCAGCCCTGCCCTGCTGGGGTTCACACCCCAGGGCTTTCTGCAGCCCACCCCAGCTCCTGGGTGCGTGTCCCACAGGGGTTTTGCCGTGCCCTGGCACTAGATGCTGTCGTAGGGCACCGCCAGGCCGATGTTGTAGCTGTAACCTGACACCTCGTCGTAGGAGGAGCGGCAGATGGGGAGGACGCTGTCCACGGCCAGCTGGTCCACGGAGAAATCGTAGGAATAAATTACCCCTCGGTACCTGCGTGCAAAACAGCCAGGACACAGCAAATCACCTCAGTGGGAAAGAGTCGCAGACAACTTCTATGAAAAATCCTTTCCTTAGGATTTTTCCTCCTGAGAAGCTGACAGGCCTCAGGAACAAAATGTAAACAATGATTATCTGCGGCTGTGGAATGCAACAGGTGCATCTGGGATTGGTCTCACGGGGTTGTTTCTAATTAATGGCCAATCACAGTCTGATGGCTTGGACTCTCTCTGTCCCAGCCACAAACCTTTGTCATCATTCTTTGCTATTCTATTCTTAGCCAGCCTTCTGATGAAATCCTTTCTTCTATTCTTTTGGTATAGTTTTAATGTAATATATACCATAAAATAATAAATCAGCCTTCTGAAACATGGAGTCAGATCCTCATCTCTTCCAGAATCCAAGAACCCCTGTGAACACCATCACAGGAAAGCAAACAGAGGAATCACCATAAAAACCATGGGAATGGGAAGAGCTGGATAAACCCCCATCCCCTGTGCTGAGCCCTTTGAGCAGGGAAAGCTCCCCCAGCCTCCTCCCAGGGCTGGTGAATCATCCCCCAGCCCTGCAGAGACGTGACTGTCATCTGCTGAAACATCTCCGGGCCCTCCAGCACGGGGGAAGATAAATACATTGGTATTTGATAGTTCAATTAGCACTAACAGCCGTTTGAGATGCAAATACCAAAACCTGCAGCTTAAATGCCAGTAGTTTTCCTTTAGGAGGAGACAGCATTACTAATATTTCGAGCATGGAGAGGGCTGCGTTCCCTGCCTGGCTTCAGTGAACTTTATGTTCCCCTGCTGAGAAAAAAAAAAGCTTTTTTTTTTACTCAAGCAAATCAAGAGCCAATTCATTGCTTGTTTTATAAACCTCACCCTTAAACTTTTTTTCATTTTATTTTTTGGCTGCTATACCCTCTCTGGGTGATGACTCAGGTGCTCAGGGTGCTATTTCAGAACAAAGCACATTGCTGAGGGCTGGTTTCTCACTTTCGGTGCAAGCTGGGGTCGTCCTCGGTGATGCTGGAGCCTCGGGGGTTCTTCTCCTCGGGGATGTTGGCAGTGATCAGGATGTGGGAGTCGAACCACACGTGGCGCACTGGGTGTCTGCAACACAACCCAGAGCCCGGCGTGAGCGGCCACGGGCGCTGGGCTCCCAAAATCCCAGAGCTGGGCTGGGACCGGCTTGGGGATAAACCCGGAGTGAGTGAAACCAGCGGCCAGAGGCGGGGAAGCCGCGCTGCCGGCTCCTCCAGCCCGCAGCACATCCCGCATCTTCTATCCCCATCTAGTGGGCTCTTCCCAGAACGCACGGGGAGGCCGGGAATGCTGCTG